GTGGGTACGCAAGCTTTCTCATTTCATTATTACACCAACCCGGAGGTGAAAGACTTTCATCTCTTATTTATTCCTCCTATTTTTTATCGGTGAAGACCCTTACACATACACCTGATTATAGCTGAACAGTGGTAGATAGATCACACGAGTCCTCCGCCTGGGCCTGTTCTGTGGCAATGTCTACATTGCTCCACCTCGTCCCCCAAGGCCGTAGGGCCCAGGTTCCTCGGGCACACTCGGGCTGGAGGAGCAGATGAACTGAGCTGCTCGGAGAAAGTAGGAAGCAGCCTTTGTTCCGAGGTCAACCCAGCGAGGCCTCCCAGGACACAGCAGTTGTAGATCTCCTTAAGATCAAGGTCTTTTGCAAAAGCAAAGTATACTCACGTTCTCATTAGCACGGAGATCTGCCTGGGCCTTCACTGGGCTCAGCAGACCTGGCCACCTGGTGATCAGGAAGCATTCATTGTGTACTTGCCGTGTGCCGGGCCCTGGGCAGACTGCCCCCCGTAGCTCCTTTTATGTGACTGTGTAATAATGCCTCTCCCTGCTGTGGACAGTCAGCCTCCCCCGGAAGAGGGGATTCAACACTGAAGGGGCTGCTTCACGTGTGTTTTGAAAGCCTAGACGGCGTTCTGTATTGTCAGCTGCTGCTTCTCTGTGACTGGGAACTTGTCCGTACGTTCTAGAATCTACCCCTCACCAGTCTTTGTGGTGAGGGGTTCCCACCTTACAGACAGGAAAATCGAGGCGCTAAGGAAGGACATCATGTTTGGTAAAATAGGGGGCGGCAAAAAAAAAAGGAGAAAGACCCTCAACAAGACGGACTGACACAGTGGCTGCAACCACTGCTTCAGGCACAATAATGGTGAGGCTGGTGCAGGACCAGACAGTGTTTCGCTCTGTTGTGCTAGGGTCACTATGGGTCAGCACCCCCTTAGCGGCACCTAACAACAACAACAAAAACAACAACACGGTGGGAGGGGAGCGGGATCAGGTTGTGTTGTGACAAGGTGGCAGAGCTGCGACTCACATCCCCGAGTTTCAGACTCCCAGGCCGGAGGGCTGTGCACGGCAGCTGTGACTCCGAGCTGTGCGTGACTCCGAGCACGCCCGGGTTTTAGGGAAGCCTGACCTCCACTTGGAGTGACGCGTGTGCTTCTGCCCGCAGTCAGCCCCAGCAAGGAGATCAAGATCGTGTCTGCGGTGCGGAGGAGCAGCATGAGCAGCTGTGGCAGCAGCGGCTACTTCAGCAGCAGCCCCACGCTCAGCAGCAGCCCCCCTGTGCTCTGTAACCCCAAGTCTGGTGAGTCGCTGAAAGAGCTGTATGACACCGTGTTCAGTAGATGAAAGAGCTCCTGACCACAGCTCTGCGGTTCTTGGGCAGATGTGCAGGTTGGGTTCCCTAAAGACTGGGGTGCAAAACTAACATGAAGGCATCCTCTTAGGCTTAGCGCCTGGAAGGAAAGGGTAAAAGGTGGGGTTAGTCAGAGGGAGGGATGGGGTGGCAGTGTAGTGCCGGAGAACGCCATAGCTGATCTCGGGAGACGGACAGGCTGGAGCTGGGATAGCTCTTCAGCGTTGTCCCAAGTTAGCATGGGGGCCAGGCTGGATGCCCCCGACTTCCTGAGCCACACTGTCCCCAACGCCCTGCCTCCTTGTCTTCCAGGTCCCTGAAGCAGCAGATCCTTCATTTGCTTGTCCGTTTGCTCAGGGTTCTCTCTGCTCCCTTAGTGGTTTAAGGCTCCAGGGAGGAGACTCGGCTTACCTTGTTCATGCTGTTGCCTCCTCACCAAACGTTAGAAATATAAGATGAGAGGCCATAGCCTCCTCTCTAAAAGTAAAAACCTATCTGCTAACAACGAGTAGGGAAAGAAAATGCTCTTAAATGGATTGTGGTGATAATATGATTGAATGATTAAATTATATGATATGTGAAGTATATGCCATTAAAACTCTTTTTTAAGAACATCCAACCATCTCTTTGGAGGGAAACACACACACAAAACACACACACACACACACACACACACACACACACCCCTCCCTGATCAATATGTGAAGTTCCAAAGACTAGATCATTATGTGAAAAGAAACGTTATTTGAAAACGGAGGATGACCACAGCAGATCACGAAATGGAGATGACTACATCGTTACAGAATGGATAAATGGCACCCTTGCCTGACTGCCAAGTCCCTGAGAATCAGTGCTCCGCCCCATGGACATATGTTACTGCCAGATGTACACGGTTAATGTGAAAAGTAATTGGATAGTAGGTTTTTTACTATTGACATAAATGTGATATGCCAGAAAACAAGATGGTCCCTAGGTGAGGAGTAGGTGTATATGTCTCAGGAGAAAGAGGGGGCTTTCTACTCAGCAAAGAGTTCCGGTCTTGGAACGCCCCAGGGGCCGTTCCACCCTGCCCTAGGGGTCAGCGTGAGTTGGAATCGACCCAAGGTCAGGGAGCGTGTTTGTTGTCTTTAGAGGTGCGTATGTTCACGAGAAGAGGGTCTTCAGCGTGCTCCAGCCCCCTGGTTCTCAACCTTCCTAATGTCGCGACCCTTTCAGACAGTTCCTCATGTGATGGTGACCCCCAACCATCAAATTATTTTTGCTGTTACTTCATAACTAATTTTGCTACTCTTATGAATCGTCATGTAAATATCTTATAGGCAGGATATATTTTCATGGTTACAAATTGAACATAATTAAAGCATAGCGATTAACCACAAAAACAATATATAATTATATATTGTAAAATATTTTTAATTATAAATAAATGAAATGTTGTCTTGAGACATGGTGTAGCATGGGTAACAATCTTCACACCAGGTACTCGTGTGTGGGCGTATCTGCATGTGGGCGGACCCACCTGGAGACGGATAGAGGAGCCGTGTCTCAGTTCCTAAGACCATCGGAAATTGTTTTTGGATGGTCTTAGGCAACCCCTGTGAAATTGTCATTTAACCCCCAATGGGGTCGTGACCCACAGGTTGAGAACCACTGCTCTAGAGGAAACCTTATTAGGCAACTAGTTCTCCCTCCTGAGCTAACAGTTCATTTGTACCATCTGCTCAAGGGTTCGCTCCAGAAATAAAGTTGCAACCTTCAAGTAAATGACGAACTGACTTCATTCTGCCTGGTTGGGAAGTCACTGAGAACTTATGTGTTACTGGATATCGTCATCCATGGGGCAGCAACGCTAGGGCAGAATGAGAAGAGGAAATTCCATTGTTAATTGAGTTCACAATGAGCTGTTTTAAGCTCAGATATCAATTTCAGAAAAGGGCCAGATGTGCTAGGTGTTGCACATGTTTATGATCGCATACGGCAGTAGAATATGAACAAAGGATGAATTAATTATCCATGTTCCTTAGAAGTGTTGGCATTGGTTCCTCTTTTCCTCTGCCCCTTGGGTCCAAGGAAAACGTTTACTGACACACTGGCCCAAAAGAAAGGGCCTATTGCTGTTCTTGGGCCTTGGAGGACCAGAGTTTGTTAGGATGGATCGGTGCCTGTAATTCCAACCTCTTCTCCAGATTCGGAAGAGCATTACCCTTTCACTCAAGGGTTGTTTTTTCTCAAGTCGCTAAATTGGACTTCGTAGTAAGGTAGTTATTAAATTTAACCTTATATATATACCATGACATTATTTGTAGAATTATGCATATTCATGCCCACAACCAGGTAGGAAAAGGCTACAGTGATCACCGTATACGCTTTGATTTTGTTGTGATGAGCAGAGATGTTTCCAAAGTTGTAAAAAGAGAACGCTAAAGGATCACTTCCTGACCTCGGGGTGTCTACATTTTCTACCATAATTAAGAGACGACAAATAGAATAAGCTAAACCATCACTGTGGTTACCTGATATTACAGTGCACTGATTTTTATTTTTTAAAACCATTTTATTGGCACCTAATCCATATATTATACAATTCAGTAGTTCAATCATATCAAGAAGAGTTGTATAATTATTACCACAATCAATCTTAGAAGCTTTTATTCTTTCTTCTATTCAGTGATATTAGCTCCTCATTTCCCCCCAACTTCCCCTGCTGTACCCCCAAAATACGGATTTTTCTATCAGAATCCTGGGACTCTAATTGGCGATAAAGGTTTTCTGACAGGGAATAAAAGAGGTCTCAGGGCTCAAACACTGGCCTCTTCTCTTACCTCCTGCTGCTGAGAAGTTATATGGTCAGTGTGCTGTTTGGCCAATTCCCTTTTGTCTGGGGAACGTAATTTTATTTTATTTTTTAAAATAATTTTATTAGAGGACTCTTACAAATCTTATAACAATCCATCATTCAACAGTCTTAAGCACACTTGTACATCTGTTGCCATCAACATTTCCAAAACAATTTCTTTCCTTTGTTTCCTTTCTTGCCAACAATTTTGAGCCTTTAGTATCAGCTCCTCTTTTGTCCCCTCCCTCCCTTTATCTTCTTTTTCGTGAGCTTTCTGAGAACAAAAATAAGAATCCCAGCCACCTGCCATCTCACTGCAGAGTGTGTATTCAGTCCCTACGCTGTCCATATGGGCCATGCCTGTGACAGCTTTCTGGACCCTCTTAGCCCTTTCTTCTCCCCACGGAGCGCGCAGGAAGGGGAGTTCTGTGAGTGAGCGCAGGAGAGCCGGCATTAAAGGCTCGAGTTAGAATCTTGATTCTGCTGCACGTTAGTGGTGGGACATTGGACCCAACCTGGTCTCCTTTTCTGTGCTTCCGTTTTCTCACCGAGAATGACAGCCAATCTAACTCCTCGCCTCTTGGGAAGATTAAATGAGATCGCACCTGTAAGCATCAAGCATAGTGTCTAGCACATTTAGAGTACTCAGAAAAGTTTATCAATATTATTCTTACTCAAGTGTGAATCTGCAGCCCCTTGTGAGAGGTGGGTAGTACATAGAGACAGGCGATGTGGGTGGGGTGAGTTCTTGAAATAGGACTGACAGACCACTCGAATCATGTTATCGCCTCACTTGGACACCCAGAAATACATATTGGAATTTAAAAGAAAGAAATAGGAGAATTAAAGAGAGCCTCTTAGAAAGCTATCAACTCACCCTTTACTACGAGTATGCTTGGACCCCTTAGCCTGCTCACGCCTCCCTCTTCCCAAAGCTCCATGAGTTTGGGCCAGGGCTTTTTGTGTTCGCGGATGTTTTCCGTCTCTTCCAGGTAGAGTTCAAACTCTGTGAGGCAAGTGTCTTCGCCAGTGTGGGACACACCGGAGGCATTTGGTGAATGCCTCCGGAAAGGATCCATGCAGGCAGGCTCTGCACAGGCTCATCCCTGACATTGTGTCTGTCTTGCAGTGTTAAAGAGACCCATCACCGCCGAGGAACTCTTAACTCCCGGGGCTCCATACGCAAGGAAGACCTTCACGGTAGGCCCTCGCCCTTTGGGTGCATTCCTGTGCTGCCGGGACGGATGGGGCACTGGGTGGCTTTGGACTGACTCACAAATGCTTTATTATTGCCGTCTGTCTTGTAGCACAATTATAATAGACTTTCTTGACCCTGAGGCATGAACGTCTCAGTTGCACTCATTAAAGATGATGACACCATGGAGCTCATTATTAATACTGGATTTTAAATTCCTTTTGATGCGTCCTTTTTTTTTGGGGGGGGGGATCCATTTTGTAATGATCTGAGTGTAACCGGGGAATGGGATGCAAGCGTTGTCCTGATTTTTGAACCGCAGTGCATTCTAGCACTAAGTGAAGGCATGAAAGGAGGGTGTGCTGCCCTGCCATAGGAGTGGTGCGTTTAAAGGTGCCGCCAAGCTTGGCCGGACAAGCCCCTGGTTTGTGGGCTCAGTGCCTCCTCCGCCAGCAGCTTCTCACAGGCCTCTAGCCTCTTGCTGACTCTCCTCAGCCCCCTTAGTGTTTTACACACACACACCGCGACCCCCCCAAACCACCCCCCCCCCAAATCAAAGCACTCTACTTGATGGCAACGCCTTCCCCATGGCAATTCCCTTCCGTGTCCGCATACCTACATTCAAACCTTCTTTGAACTGAGTCTCCTGTCTCCTTCAGTCTTCCAGCTCATGGACATGCCTCCATGCACGCACACACATACGCACACTCCTAACGTTTGTCTAAGGGCTACTGCCGTTCCGCACCTCTGAGGAGTCAGAGCAGGACAGGTCCAGCGCCTGCCCTCAGTTGTTCTTGCGTTTGTGGTGTTAGATGTGGAATTCCAAAGCCCCACGCAGCCATCGCTGGCCACTAGGAGAAAACCCTTGCAGTTATGGCTGGACCAGAGAGGAAAGGAAGGTGTGCATGTGTGGGGGACATGGGTATTGCACACTAATAACAGGAAACCCCACCGTCACTGAAAGGTCTAAAAATCTTCTTAAGAGCTCTTATACACACACACAAAAATTGTCCTCGCTTTTTACCTTGCTTTTGGTCAATGAGCAGCTTTGAAGAGGCTGTTGATTGTGATTTACGAGCATTTCCTTTTGGCGGTGGGATTGAAATGCCAGCATGGCTAGTACCGGGGAGGGAATGCGTTTCATGTGCCTTTCCATTGAGCCGTGGATTAAAGGCATGTCTGGGAGCTGCCCAGAGCACAGCGCTGCCAGTTCCAATAATGGTTCTGTAAGAAAAGGGCACGCTCTAATTCCAGGCCAGTTTTCGATGAAAGTTTAATAGTTAAAAAAAACAAAGTGAGCTTCATGTACTTTCTCAGCTTACTTTCTTTCTAGAGAAAATGGTCTTTCAACACAACCAAAAGTCTTTATATTCCCCCCGCTCCATTAATAATTCAGATGATTACCGAAGACCTCAGTGATGCACTGAGATCATTAAGAATGTACCCTGTGGATCCAGGGGATGAGAACAGACTTGGAGTTGAATCTGAACCTGAGAAGAAGTTTCAACTACAATTTGAGTGTGAGAATAAATCGTCTAGCCGCCTAAGAAAGAGGCAGCCTGCCTGTTTACTTTGTGACGTCCTGCAAAAGAAGCTCATTCCTGCCACACAGGTGGAGGATTCTTGCCCCTGTTTTCCACAGAGATGTGCAGACATCTATCAGCCTGTGCTTGCCATCCAACTCAAGGGCTGTGTACCCCCACCTTGGTAAGGTAGAGATGAAACAGGAAAGCCCTGTCACAGCACAGACTTACTTCAACCTTGGCTGCCTTTCCTCTCCAGATTGTTGGCGACGCAGTGGGCTGGGGTTTTGTGGTTCGAGGAAGTAAGCCATGCCACATCCAGGCCGTGGACCCCAGTGGCCCCGCCGCCGCCGCAGGAATGAAGGTACTGGTTGGGTCTCTTCCCGCTGTCTTTTTGGGTCTGGCTTGGGTGCCTTGGACAGAAGGGGCCACAATTTGTGCTCGAAATCCAATCCTTGTGTTCGTACAATTTTCCTCATTTTCGAAGTTGCTCACTTCCTTAACTTTTCCCTGGGTCATGCCCCACAAAACAAAATAAAACTTGTACAAACCAACACCGAACAAACGAAACAAAAAACCCCAAACGGTTGCTATGCAGTTGATTCGGATCCAAGGCAAGCCCATGCAAGTCAGTAGGGAAACGCTGCCCCATCGGGTTTTCGGCAGCCGAAGGCCTTCTTCAGAACGTTCTACCAGGCAGTTGTGGGCGAGGCTGAAGCGCTAAGCTTCTAAGTAGCGTTCATCAAGAAACCGACCCGAACTCACTGCCATCGAGGTGACCCTGATCATAGCCAGCCTACAGGACAGGGCAGAACTGTCCCTACGGGTTTCTGAGCCGGTGCATCTTCATGGAAATAGAAAGCCTCATCTTTCTCCCCAAGAACAGTTGGGTTCACAGCCCAGTAAGTAACCGACTATGCCCTGGGGCTCCGAATGGAAGATAAAAATGGGCAACCAAGCAAGGCTGGAGAGAGTAAAGGGCACAGTTGACTGTTAGTCTGGCCCATCGGCCCAGCAGGATTTGCGGCTGACACTGGCTCTGGGCGGCAGTGCTGGGAATGCCTTCCTGGAGCCGAGGCGTAGGCTCTGGCTGGCAGATGCCTTCCTGGCTCCTCAGACAGCAGTGGGCCCAGCACCACAGGAGCCCAGAGCAGGAAAGTTGGCCAGGACCATAAAAGGTGAGCATTTGTGTCCATGCCAAAACTGACTTTTTTTTATGTTCTAATGGAACACTTGACTGTGGACAGGATTCCATATTTTATTTCCACCGCAAAATAGCTAGTTTAAATTACTTTTGGCAATCTCTCACATGAGCCTCCAGCCGAAATCATGTTTCCACTGGGGATAACAATGGGTTTACATGGCTGCTAACGATTTCCGTTTGCTTCGTCGAATATACAGTAGCTTCCCTTGATGGCAGGCCACTTGTATGGATTCACTCGGGTGACTCTGTTTGGCCATTGCCAAGGGTTGAAGGAAGTCTTCAGAGAGACAGTTTGGATGAAACACCACCGAGAACCCCATGGCCTGCGGGACTCTAGAGAACTCTATGTCGAGGGCCATTAGCCAATCACAAAAAGGGTAAATATTATATGAGGCCGCTGATGAAAGGAAAGGAAAAACATGAAAACCAAGATAAAGGCTTTCTTTCATACCTCAGGGAATAGGCTAGAGTTGGCCACTAAGGGAAGGGTGATAAAGCAGTGGGATAGATTGCTGAAGAAGGTTGATCCGCCTGTAGCACAGAAGGGAGGGAGAAGGGCCATCAAGGAGCAGGGGGATGAAGAGCTGCAGTGGGGATGGGTGGGGGCGGGGTTGATTAATACTTTAGACTGTTGACAACCTGAAATGTATACTCCACCTAAGTTGTCAGAAAACCTCTGTCTTCCCACAAAAGAGAGAGAGACCCTGACCAAGGGATTCCCTGGGGATTTCTGCCAGTCAGTGCTCCATAGAGTTCACTGGCTTCTTTCCTAGGAGGCGCACGGTGATGTTCCCATGCCGCGTGCAGCGCAGCGCAGAGTTCACTGGACTAGCTTGGCCAGAGCTGGAGTCTACGGCTCCCTGGCCCACAAAATAGCCTGCCTGCGGTACTGTGGTTTGGCCCATGTGGAACGGCTGTACGCTTTATCCTCTCCTTGGAAATGGATGAAGCAGATTACTTGGAAAGTCAAAAAGCACATCAGCATATTAACAGGTCTGATAAAGGCCGCAGGGAAACCACGTGTTGAAGCTGTTTAACACTGTGTTTGGTTATGTAATGTAAACACGTCAGGCAGAATCTTTCTGGAGCTTGTTAAGATACAGCCCTTATTAATGGTTCTAAGAAGATGATTGTGGGCAAACAGCACCCTGGAACAAATCGTCACCCAGATGCGTTATATACATCTACATGTTCCTTCCTATGAAGCGCACAGGTTTGAACTGTACCGTTTGTGGTTGAAATGAAAAAGACAGAATCCCAGCCTCTTCTGTGTAGATTCCTTTGCATTTACCTAGTATGTGGCTTTCTGATCTGAAATAGGAAATAAGTGACTTCCTCTTTACCTCATTCCACTCGCTTACAAGCCACTAGTTCCCACCAGTCACAGAGGCCTGTTTTCCCCTACCTGCCACAGCGCTGACTGCTCTTGTCTAGGAAAATACAGGAGAGGTGTTGGGTTGTGGTGACTTCTCAGGGGACCTCTCCAGGAAGGTGCTATGGTGAAGGATCTGCTTATATTACCTGCATACTGGTTGGCCTGCGTGGTCTGGGCAGTTAGAAATGATCCAGACTTCTAGCCAGAGCACCTCCTTTTGATGTCTGACTGGCTATGGCAGACCCAAAGAGCCACACGCCCCTCCCTGCATTGAGATCGAGGCTCACGCATCAGGTCTGGGCCCTGGTTTCCTCCTGACCGCAGGTGCGAGGCGTTCTGAACCTGACTTGCTTTGTGAACAGAATTGAGGTTTTGGTGTTCGGGTTAAGTATAGGCTTCTACTTCATCAGACTCTTTCGTATTTTGGTTTTAGCCCCAACCTGACTTCTCCTGTTCCTTTCTAGCTCCCTAACCATCATCATTCAGTCATAACCTCTTTGTTTCTAAAGACTGGAAACGAGCAGGTGTTGTTGCCTGATAATAGAGGCCCCAAATACCTTGCGCTTGGTCTGAGTGAAGAGCTACACACACACCGAGAACAATGAACTGCACCCTTTCTGAAAGTGTGCTGTGCTGTGTTGTGCGGCTCCCCTCCCCTCCCAGGCCCGGAGAACGGGGGCTGGAGTCCCCACGTTTTTCATTCACTCGTACACTGTGTTGTCAGATGGTGCATTCTGCGTTTGCCCATTGCCACTGTTTCGCTCATCTTAGGAATCTCACTGGCTATACACTTCAATGCAAGGAGAGAGGGAACTCTCGTTCATGGGCAGTCTTCGGTATGCCTAATCATGTACCCTCGGTCTACACAGTGGGCCCCATTTACGTCACCAGCTAGCTACCAATATCGTAGAGGAGGAAACTATTCCTAGAGGAAGAATCCTTTCTGCGACTTGGAAAGGAAGCCCGTTCTCCCTCCATGCTGTTTTGTTCCTCAGGCTTTCCCGTCCAGCGAATGTGACTAGACACTGACCCCATGTCACCACCATCGATGGCGTCCTCTATTTCATCACAGCAAGTCCAAGCCCATACTTGGGCCACATGGTCCTATCCTCCATAACCTTATTTCATTGATTCTCCAAGAAATGCTCTGCACGTTATCTAATCACCACCAGTTTTTCACATTTCAAATGTATCCACGTCGGTCCTGCAAGTAAATCTAATTGAGTCTGGCACCTTTTAAATCCTCTTTTGGCTTCCCACTCCAAGGAGAATAAATCCTAGATTTGTTGGGAGGGGCCTTGCCGGGCCGCGTCTTTCCTACCCTGTTTTTCAGGCAGCACTGTTGCCCTTGTTTCTGTTCCTCCCAAAGGAATTCCAAGTTTGTTTCTGCCTAAGGAGCGATGGCTGGTCCCATGGTTGTCAGTCCTTCAAGGCTGAGAGATCTCTAAGTGCCCCCAACTGTCTGGCCACCTCGTACTGCCCACAGACACGGGCCATGTGAAAGAGCATGGCACTTGTTTCTCACAGCCGAGGAGCTCAGAGGGCCTTCTGAAGCGTCCGCTCTCGTGGCTATTTGTCTTGGTCTCTGCCCGTCTCGGGGCTGCCAGCAATCCTGGGGTTCCTGGGTTTCTAGATGCATCTGTGTCTGTCTTCTTAGGACATCTTCCCCCCATGTGTGTCTGCACTCTTTTTATAACGGAGACATGACTCAGCCTTAGGGCCACCCAACTCTGGCATGGCTTCATTAACATAAAAAGCAAAAGCCCCTGTTTCCAAAGAGAGTCATATTCACAGAGACGGGTTTTGTTTCCAATGCCAACTTGAGAAGCAAAGGGAAATTCCGTCCTTAACACCTTCCTTAAATACCTTGAGATTCTCCTCTATCTCCCTTCTGTTATTCTTTGCTGGAATGCTGTCTCATTTCCGTCATAGTATTTATCAGGATCAAATGATATTTATTTCCATATTTATTCTCTGTCTCCATAGCCCCATAGGGGCGGGGACCTTGTCTTGACTACTCCATTCCCAATACTCCTCACAATCTCTGGCATTCAGTAAGCACGGAAAGGCGATCGGTTGAATGGTTAAAGGACCAGGTGCTTCTATAGGAAGGCTGCGGGAGCTGCCTCACTGAGCAGCCACATGCGCACCACCTCTCTTACTGCTCTGACAACTCTGGAAGATGGGTGGGAAGTGCTGTCCACTTTTACATGTGAGGAGACTGGGCCCCAGGTAATACCTTTTTCAAGGTCGCCCAGCTACAAAAGTCAAGATTAGCCTCTGTCCTAACACTCATAGGCTCTTTATTATGTGGGGGTGGGGAGGGAAATGCAGACCTATGAGTCAGAGCAAAAAGAAGATAATAAAGTTCATGAAAACCTTAGGAGCCATGTGGCATGGTGGTTACAGTACGGGGCTGCCATCCACAAGGTCCCATGTTCCAACTTACCGGGCGGCTCTGCTGGAGAAAGGTGGAGTGTTAGACTCCCGTAAACAGTTACAGTCTCAGAAACCCACAGGGGCGGTTCTCCTGTGGTAGTCTGGGGAGACTAGAGAAACAAATTCATAGACACTCATATGTGTATAAGGCATCATCAGAACAAAAAATCTTACCATAGTGAATGATGGGGGGAATGTGGAGTGGAGACCCAAAGCCCATTAGTAGGCCACTGGAGA